TCCTCGCTACGTTGGAGGCACCTCAAAGAGTGGGATAGCTAGCCCCAAGATCTTACACAAAGAATTGAAAATTAATTAATAAAACTAATTATACAAATAAAGAAACCTGAAATTCACTAAAATCGTCAAAATCAAAACTATTCACATATTAAACATGAACCCAGTGCCTCACGCCCCCTTCTGTGCATCTACCCTAACTCATCAATTCTCCCCTTCCTGAAAGCAAAACATGAACCCTGAGTCCTAGTATGGCTCATGCCCCTTATGTATTCACTCTTAATGAACCCTAGCTTGTCAAATTTTTCCTTCCCAATAGCAAAATATGAACCCTAAGTCCTAATGTGGCTGATGCCCCCTATTTCTTATACTCCCATTGAACCCTAACTTGTCAATTCTACCCTTCCTAGAAGTAGGAAAGTAAAGTAAATAGATCGAGAAGGCATAAGGTAGACGAAGTGAGTCATGAAACCTACACTCACAACCTTTGTAACGACCCACTCTAGGCCGTCACATCTAGAAACAACCAATATGACAACTAAAATAGAATAATATATAATTTAGAAAAGAGAGCAAAGGCCAGCTACACTAGAGTGTAAATATACAATAACGTATACATTATTTCCAAAATATATAACATATTTTTATAGAAGAGTCACTATCCTCAGTAAGATTATACAGTAATCCAAAAAGCTAACATTATGAAAATATAAGATAGATACCCTAGGTGCTGGTCAAGCTCTAAGCCTAGCCACTTCTCAATGCAGCTATCAAAAGACTCCTTACTATCTCAAAGCATCACACCTGATCTGCTCCTCCACATAATGAGATCATCACAGTCCACATCATGAAAATATAAGGATTAGCACGTATAAAACCAACCATAGTATAATAAAATATCATTAAAATAGATGTTTCATTAACAGTATGTATCCATACCAAAGAAATGACAACATTATAAACAGTTATTTCCATGCCAAATATAAACCAATCCAAAATCCAATGTATACACATCCATGCCAATGCATACATATTCTATGATAATAAAGAATCCATAATCAATGTATACAATCCATACCAAATGCATACATATTCCACATCCAAACCAAAGTCACACCACTGTATAATCCCATGATGTAACCAACACATCCAAACCAAATGTTGGCCTCAACACATCCAAACCAAGTGTTGATTCGGTGAAACATGTCATCAACCATGTCACACACCTAACCTCTCATGGAAAATATACAGTTGGATTACGTCATCATGTAACCCTGGTGATCGTGTCGGTATGACTCGGCCTTGCCCCCATACCGGTAGCAAATAGAATACTTAGAGGAGTACTTCAGAATCCACCTAACATCTGAAGTGGTTTATTATGTAACCTTTAGAAAAGTTTCATATTAGAATCCTCACCATGAGATTCCCAAATTCCATATTTTTCCAAAGATTATATCCTGATCTCAACAAGAGATCTAATCCATACCATAACCTTACTCCTCTAAGTTCTATTAGCTTTCCAAACCAAACACACATAACATATTTTCCATAATTACATACAAAATTTTCCATAACCATGCCAAATCATTCAATATAATAACATAAATAACTAAACACCTAAAACAACCATCAACTTAAACACATGACAATCTTCATGTAAACAAAATAGCATATTTATAAAATTACACCTATCATGCTCATACATACTAGATTAAGTCTTATACGTACTACCCTTACTTGGATAAACAGGAATCGAAACTAGGACAAAACCTCCTCCTCTCCCTCCTCTTTTCTTTCCCCTGGCAGAACCTCCTTATCTGGATTTCTCTTCCTCTCTCTCCTCTTTTCTTTCTCCTCCTCTTTTCTCTCTCTAGGATCTCCTCCTCTCAAATTCTGGATTTCCCAACACCCCAGCCCCCTATTTATAGAATTCTGCCTTACCTAACCCAGAACGGCCCGTTCCAAAAGCAGAACGCCCATTCTGGGCCCGAAAAATCTATGTAAGTTTTAGAACTGGAACGGCCTGTTCCAAAACCAGAACGGCCCATTCCGGGACTCATCCAGAACGACCCGTTCTCCTTCTGGAACGGCCCGTTCTCCTTCCGGAACGGCCCGTTCTCCTTCTAGAACGGCCCGTTCTAAAATCAGAACGACCCGTTCTCCTTTTGTAATGGCCCATTCTCGGCCCGTTCTCAACTTTAAACCTAGTTCATTTTTTGGTGCTTGGAACGGTCCGTTCCGCTTTTGGAACAACCCGTTCCGAGTTACCAAAACACCCTATACCTTAAACACTACAACACAAATAGCTTTTAGCAACATTTGAAAATTGTTACTTAATGATGTATAAATGTTACTAATTTGTTTTAGCAACATATTATCAAATGTTGTATATAGTCTATGTTGCTAAAGACTTTTAATAACATTTTTATATAATTAGGTAACATTTTTTAAATGTTAGCAAAGTAGTATTTTTGTAACATTTTAATGATGTTGCTAATATTTTGTTAATTTATAAAATAATAATTAATTTAATTTAGATATATTACTATCAATTATTATATTTTTTATGTCTGTTAAACTCTTAGGAATTCTTAGTTACCTTTTAGGAGAAGACATTCTTAATTAGTTACCACTAATTATATATAAAATATCAAATTTCATTTATCTTAAGTATAACTATATGGTTATATATACTCTTTATGAGTCATTAATCTATTCGATGTGGGACTTTAATTATGGATAATAATTAGAGATAAGAAAAATATATTTTTTTCTACTTGATGTGGGGCTTTGATTTTAGAAACAATTATAGTAACATTTTTCAAAAAAAATGTTGCCAAATAACTTATGTAAAATATTTTTACTCTATATGGGACCTTGATTTTGAAAACAATTAGAAAGAATAATATTAAAATAAAAATGTTACTCTATCTATAATGACATTTTTTAAAAAAGTGTTGCAAAATAACCTATTTATTTAATATTTAGTAACATTTTAACAAATGTAAACAAGAAAATGTTGCTAAAAAATTAAAATCTAGTAGTGATA